TCTTGACTTGAAAGCGCTTACAGACAGCTGAGCGTGCTTGGCCCCCCTGGTGAACCCCGCTACGTGCTCACCTACTGGGCTGTATAAAGGCGACCCTGCTGCAGCTAGGGCCCTATTGTAAATACAGGGAGGGTCAAAAAGGGAAGGAAAAAACTAAAAAAAGGGATGAAGAAACAGCCCTCACACCAGAGGAAGGTGAACTTGCCAGCAGAGTGCTCTCAAGCTGTCACTTGTACATAGGGACCGGCACGTACGTCTAGCAGCAGCTCTGCTCAGCAAAAGCTTCCAGGGAATGCTGCTTGGATTTCGCTGTCATGTGTAAATAGAGATTTTTTTTTTTTTTGGAAAAAAAATAAGCCTTAGTTTCTCGAAGATAACGATTCTCCATCAGCTCGGCTGTGAATGGATATATGCAAAGCCACGGCGTCTGCCTGGCATTGCGGCAGGGGTCTGGCAGCCCAGGTGTGCCGCTGCGGCCGGTGCAGGAGGCACCTGAAGGACGGTGGGCAGGGGGCTCAGCAGGCATTTCTCCCTCGGTCCTGTCAGCGGGGTGAACTCTCTGGCCCGTGTCCTCCCCAGGGAGCTACGGCCCGGGCTTCTCGGTGCAGGCATGGCAGGTGGGATGGGCAGAAATCACCAGTAAGGGATGCAGACCCCGTCAGCGTGGTTCCCCTGAGGCTTTTAATATTAATTACAAAAAGAAACAGAAAAAAAAGAAATAAAAAAAAAAAAAAAAAGGAAAACGTACACCAAACCCTGCAGACTTGTTAGTGGTGTTGGGCCAGCTCCTCTGCACTGGTGGAAACCACAGGGGAGCTCTGGAGCTTCCCCATCACCCTGCACAACTCAGAGCTTACTGAGTCCTTACTGACCCTGAGCCCAACAGCAGCAGAAGAAAATTACATAGCAGATGGAAAAAGGTGGCCCAGAATAACTTTCCCTAGACATAAAAGCCTCTATTTCACCTGGCATTTTTCAGTGAAGCAGTGCCAATGTGGAAGCGTCCCCTCCCAATGAAAAGCCCACTAGCACGGCTATCTGGTAGCTTGCTGGTAGCTATAGAAACACCTATTGCACAAATTCAGCGTGGTATTTGGGGTAGAGCCCTCACTCCTGGCAGGGAAAGGCCAGCAGCTTACCAGAAGCTGCCTGGTAGTGCCAAGGGGGTTAGGCACCCACACCAGTAAGGCTCCTGCCGCTGCAGGGCTGTTGTTTTCCTCTCGCATACTTGAATACCTCCGCTGTCACCTGGCTCTGTGGGACTGTGGTTACCATCAGCACTTCACAGCTGCCCAGCAACGAGCGATTGAATGATTTATCGCTGTGGCACGCAGGAGATACCATGCTTTTGTTCACCCCTTCCTTTGCCCACATCTCCTCCAGCCCTGCACGGTGTCCCTTGGGCCATCATCTCCAGGAGACTCAGGTTGCACCCCTAATGGAGGCTGTCAGATTTATTTTTTTTTTCCTTCCTGGGCTACAACAAGGGACAAAATCTGAACAACCTCCCCTGCTTTATGCTGGAAAGGTTCTGGGAACTAGACAGGGAATTTGGAAGAAAATAAAAAGCTCCAACAAGTTTGAAAGCTCATGATTTTTTTCAGTCGCAAGGGGATGGTCCTTATGGTTTCTAGAGCCTAGAAGGGCAGTGCTAAATCCTGGCCTGAGGCTGCCCAACCCTTGGGAGCTCTGGGGTGCTGCTTGGGGTGAAAGGGGGGCTGCAATTGCAGGAAAGCAGAAATCCTCTACCTTTTTTTTTTTTTTTTTTTTTTTTTTTTTCAACAGATTATTGGAAAGCAGCAATCCTCTGGATTGCTTTTTTTTTCTTTTTTTTTCATTCAAGCCCTCACTATGAGTTTCTCTCCCCAGACAATCCTATCATCCTGCACCTTAAGCCTTTGACACGATGTCTAGAAGAGTTATTCTTGGAGCCAGTTGCGACAGCGCTCGCTGTCTCTTTCTTCAGCCCCGACGAGGCTGACACCCGGTAACTGATGGTGAGGGCTGTAGAGACCAGCCCGAGCCCCAGTAAAAATGATGAATCCTGCCTCCTGCCTCCAGGCCGATGGCACATGGGTTACCTCTTGCAGATATCGGCCACCGTGAAATCGCTGGAAGAGCACCAGCGCGTTTTGCGTGGCCTTCTCCAGGGCCCTGGGATAATGCAGACAATCAGCTGCCACCGAAGGGATCCAGGAACTTAATTGGCGAAGCCAATAATTCCCATTAGCAAACCCCTTGGCCCTGTGGTTCCCCGGGGCAGAGTTTTGATTTAATCCAGCCCCAAGTCAACAGTGATTTATGTTTCACTTGCTTTACATATCTTAACTGAACTTCCTTACTCCTCAGGCATGGAATGAATCTTAATACATTGTAATTACTGTACTCCTGTCGATGAAACCATATGAAAAGCTATCACGGAGAGCATTAATAAAATGTACATTATGAAAAAGAATTCGGCATTGTCTGAAATTAATAATACGCCAGACTTTTCTCATCCACGCCTGCTCATTACAGGCCTGCCCTTGAGGTTTTTTGTTAAAATGCCTCGTTCAAACCACTCACATAGTTGTAGGGGGTGCAAGTTATGTGCTGTAGGGCTGCATCCCGGGTAGATGTACCGCACGAGGATTTATTAATCTGTTACGTCTTTCAGGCATTGATTTTAGTGGCATTTATATAATGCTGGTATGACTAAAATGAACTGATTGATTCATGCGTATGGATTAGTTTGCCTAAGACTTTGAGGCTAGGTAGGTTTATCATGCACTGTAACGACAGAATTCATCACTGTATTATTTACAAGAGACTGAACTGGCTGCATCTCAATAACTGAAGAGATCTTCACTGTTTTATTTATGTATAAATGTTTACTTAATCAGCCACCAATTTTGTTTAGCGGAATTTGTTAGCAAACGGAAATTGTAAATGATAACATGGTGTCTATTTTTAAATTTATAGGCTTTCATCTATAGCGAAAATCCAAGATTTCCAAAGTGTCTTTGTCTCCCGGCAATCAACAAGCTCTCTTGTATATGCTTTTTGGTAATTGCAATTAGCTACCGCAGTCCTTCACTTTTAAAAAAAAAAAAAAAAAAAAAAAAGACCCTAATACAGGAGATCTGAGTGGTAGTGTGTCAAAGTCACCATAAGTACCCCAAATACGTAGAAGCATTGCTGTAGGTGCCAAGCTACCTGCTTGGCTGGCCTCCGAGCATTCAGCAGTAGTTATATGTATGTGAACACAGCGTGATGTGAAAAACACAGCCAGCGTTTGTAAAAGACGGCCTCCAAAACCTGCGTGGAGGTGGAGGATCACCCTACCCAGGGCTCCGCTTCGTGCTGGGTCGAGAGATCGTGAGAAAACCCCAATTCCAGATAAAATGAAGTGAAAAGCTTCAGCGCACACTGGAAGAAATCACTTGAGCTGTTCAGCTCTCTGCTGCGACAGCTTGAGGAGCACCCGGCCAAAGGGGGGAAGGAAGACATCTGCCCACCCAGCACCCCAGCCGGGAAAGTGGCCAGGCAACAATGGGCTTTTGCTGGAATAATTCTCCAAGGAGGCTTAATCCCAGGCGGCCAATCGATGGCACGTGTTTGCTTTGAGCTGGGGTGCCCTCCGACCGCGCTGCTCCTCCCAGGGATCCTGAGTAAAGAGGATTTATTAAACCAAGGAGGAGACTTCCCTTTCAGGAGCCATTTGGAAATATTTTTAGTGCAGGCCACATAAGAAGTGATATGTTAGAGGGATATAAAATAGTAAGTAGTGTCCAGAGAAGGTGAATTGAGCGTGCCAGTACACCTTGGGTAATACAGCAAGTGGCTCTGTGTGGGGAAACGAAGAGGTGAAGGCTTAAAGGTAGTTAAAGGCACTGCCTCATTACCCAGCACACAAATACCCCACGGACTCCGTGACCCAATACAGCAGTAAGATGATGGACAATGAGCTTCAGCAAAATGTTGTACCTTCTTACGCATGCCTCACACCCCCTCCCTGCAGAGCTATTAGGAATTAGAGCAGAGCACGTGGGGAGCATCGTTGTCCAGAGATGCTTTGTTGCCGTGGCCAGTGCATGGCTTGTGAATGTTTGGGAAGGTTGCCTGCCACCATACAGGCTGCTATCTACCAACACAAGTCCTGTGCACCTTGCTGACACTGCCCACAGCCAAATAGTCAATTTGTCAGCACAAATAGCAATATTTGGAAGCGTTGAGCTTAGCAGAGGCTGCGTGTAACCAGCACGTTTTATATTCCATGCAAATGTTGGGACGCTTCTGCTTCCTCACGCTCCTTAGCCTGCAAAGCCAGCAGAGCTCATAGTGTCTGGAAATTGCCCCAATGGGCAAATCTGGCGAGAGCAGCTGAGCCTCGGGAAACTCGGTTCACCAAGGACTAGTGCACACACTCCTTGGGGCATAAAACGAAGTTTTTAGTTGCTTTTCTTGGACAGCCCGTAAATGTGAGCGATGCAAAATTAATCAAAAACACCAGTACAAGCTAAGAAGTCAGTCATGCTTCATGAGCTGTTCGCACAGGAGGCAGCTCTTGGCCTCTTAGCACCAGGAATAGGAAATGCATTAATTGTGAGGCTTTCAGGCTCTGGGATAGACATGACACCCCGCCGTCCTCAAGTGCACCATGGGCTGATTTTGCCCTGGAGCCATGGGGACACACCAAAGCACACTGCTGGATGTGAGAGGCTCTGCCCCTTTGGAAGAGGACCTTAGCTGCTGTTTGGGATGTGTCTTGGGCATCTTTGCAAGTGGGTTCTCACTGTTCCTTCTCACTTAGCTACTATTCTACCTGCGATGTCCACAATCTCCAGGTTGGTTACGCCTTAATTTAAGGCAATTAGGAGATGCACCTGACCAGGTCTTAAAAACAAAGCAAAACAAACAAGCAAAAAAAAAAAACAAAAACACAGCAGCAAGCACTGTGATTCTTCTGTATAAAGATGGCTTCTGCCAAATGGCAATGTTTGCTTAAAGCTGCAGGAACAGGTGAAAGCCAGCAGCTGTTTTAATCAGCTCTGTGCCCACCTGGATGCCAGCTGTGGTCCTTAACTATAAGAGTAACAGCAGCAGGCTTGGGTCTTCCTTAGAGGCCCCCCAGCATGCCAAGGACACTGATGCCCTGTGCAGACCCAAGCAATGAAGCTGATGGTGCTGGCATCATGTCTGTAACTCCTGGCTGAGCCAGAGACTATCCTTTAGGAAGGTGCTTTAAGTGCTTGCAGCTCTTGAAGGAACGAGGAAGATGTTGGATCCCTTGGTAAGTCACGCTACATGCTAACTGCTCCTGCTGATGTACCAGCACTGTAGTTTGCCTCTTGTCTGAACAATTAGATTCAATTTCCTGTCTTATGCCCTGTTTATCCATGCTAATATCTCTCCTAGATCTTTTTGGATGATGCCTGCTGTGTAGGGGAGGTATATAATTGTAGGAAAGGCTGAAAATTCGTCACCGTAATGTCACCAAAATGGCCTTGACTAAAAGGTGGTGCTGCAGGAGTCTGATTTTTCACCAGCTTCCCTCCACGCGGATGAGCTTTTAGTTAGTCATGTTTCAAAATAAAGTCGAGGCATGCCTCTTTTTTTAGCTTTCAAGCTAAAAATGAGTCTGTTGTGTGCATGCTCCCTTCTGCTCGGCTGCACTTGCTGGCGTCTGCTGCTGTGGGAAGCTGAAGGCATCAATGGCGAGGCTGAAGCCAACCCCTGCAGCACGGGGTGTGCGCGTAAATCATGTATCATGGTGCGTGGGGTGGTGGTGGGTGAGCTCCATGCTGACATCCTCTGCTTGGAGCTTTGGTGTCCAGGGCGTGCAGCAGCTGCATCAAGCAGTCTTAAGAAGAAAAAAATATATTTTTTTTTTTTCTTGTGAGATCTTTTACCCTTACATGCCTGTTATCGTGGATTCACCTGGGTTAAATGCTGCGGTGCATGCTCCTGTTAAGCACCACCCAGGAGCTGCCCGTGGCTCTCCTGAATATTAAGCGGTTTCCTAAGTGCTGTGAGGCTCTCATGGCTGAACAGCTTCACCATGTGCTTGCTGCACACTCATCCAGCAAGGAAATCAAAGGCATGATGTCATCAGCATTTCTCATCTAAAATTAAATATCTGTCTTAAGTCCCTAGACACACACAGACTTTGTATTAGAAACATGTACCGAGAGTTCAAACTCTGAGTCATCTCATATATATTTCACCAAAGCCAAGGGAATAGCAGAAAGAACAGACCTGCAAAAGAGCAATTCTCCAGTCTAGCAAGACGAGGGAGGAAAACTGTTCAGGGAAAAATACTAATGGGTTCACAAGCAAAAAAAAAAAATCTTGCCAATGAAATTGTGGCTCTAGTATTCTGTACCTTCGCAGGAAAGCTGTGATTTGCTGTGGAAAGTGCAGCAGGGAATAAATGGGTCAACTCGTGCTCATTAGCAGTGGTGGCAGAGCAAGTGGCATTTGAAACAAGCCTGCTTGGAGGGAAAGCCAAATGATTTATTCTGAAATAGTAAAATGTTTGTTGTCACAATTAGCTTCTCCGAGGGCACAGCACAGAGCCATGTGGTGCTGCTGGCCGGGCAGGGATCAGGGATGAGGCTTTTGCCATGAAGCTGAGCACTGCCCTCCTGCTGCGGGGCTGCGCTGCATCGCTGGAGGTGCAAGCTGGTGGATGCTGCTCATAAGGTTTGGAAAAGCCCTCCAAGATCATCTGGTCCAACCATCCCACAAAACCATGTCCCCAAGCACCACGTCCAACCTTTCCTTGAACACCCCCAGGGACGGTGACACCACCACCTCCCTGGGCAACCCGTCCCAGTGCCTGACTGCTCTTTGTGAGAAGAAACGTCTCCTAATTCCCAACTGCATATTTGAGTGGTCAAAGACTGCTTTTAAGATTCCCTTTTCCTTTGTTAGCTCCAGGCCCGCTGCAGCCCCAGCTCTTCCTGACCTTCTCAGTGGCCTCAGGCAGTCAGTGGCTTGCTCCTTGCTGGCTCCCTCTCCTGCCTCAAGCTAGGCCAGGCTTGGAAATGTATTTAAAGATGTGCCCAAGAGGCTGATGGAGTGGGATTTCTGCTATTTTCAGCTTCCAGCACTGCCAGGCCCCTGTTAAGCCCCCACCTACATTCTTCCTCCCCGATCTAATGCTGTGCCTCTCATTTGCTTCCCAGCAGGTCAAGTTCAGTTGTTGTGGGCACAGCCTGGCTCCTAAATGGCCTTCCCCAAGGAAGCTAAACATCTTCCCTTCTCAGCAAAAGTCTCTTCTCCTCCCCCACACAGTTCAGGCTGTTTGTTTGTGGGGAGGAGCTGTGTATCAGGGTCCCTTGGGATGTGATAAGGAACCCGGTGATGCTGCCGGTGCAGGAAGGCGTGGGGCAGAAGGCAGTGCAGGCACCTGGGGGGCTGCAGAGGATAAAATCCCTGCTCTGGGCTATTCTCCATCTCCCACTGGAGTACGGCCTGGGCCTGAGGCCTGTCGGATGCACTATCAGGTATGCAGCATCAGCCCAAGAGCTGTTCTGGCTCCATAATGGGAACCAATTCCCTCCCCTAATGTGCAGTTGTTGAGTTGCATAAAAATCATTATTACACATTGTGAAATCTAATTACATTATTACACACCGCGTACACACTAATAAAGGCGGTGGATGCAATAACGCTGCTGGTAATACACCATTCCACCGAAATTACTATTGCTGTCAGTTTTACTTCCAGTTTTCTTGATTTACCCTGACAAGTGAGGCTTGCAGCCTGCTTGCTCCAGCAGGTGGGTGAAGTGGGAAGACCTTACCACAGGTGCAGCACCCCACAGCTCCTGCTACAGCTGTCAGCAGGTAAGGAGGGGCTACCGTGTCCCCACTCCTATTCACAGTGGTGAGACGTGCTCCTGCGAGGGTTATCAGTGCTGTCCTGAGACGGGCTCAAAAACAGCCCTTTGAAAGTTGCCCTGATAACAGCACTCATCATTTATCCTTGGGAACGTGTGCAACCTTTAGTATTTGAAGCTAGACCAGCCCAAACGCCACCCCACACACACCTCCAGGGGTTGTGGTATGCAGCAGGAGGAGGACAGATTGTTCTTAGGCTTTTTACAGGCACGTCCAGCAGTGTGGATGTGGCTGCACTGATGTGGTCCTCACCAGCACCAGTCTATGCAATGGGACCTGCACTAAGCTGAGGACAGAAGGCACCTTCTCAGCTAGACCAGTGAAAAGAAAAAAAAAAAAAGGCAGGAGAAAAACTGACATCTGGAGGATTGATGTGAGGGGGAATTTAGCTCTCAAGGAGTATTTTCAGTTCTCTGCCTTCCCACCACTAACTTCTCACTGTGAAGCTCATGTGATGAATACTGTCTGCTGGGGTTAACCAGCTGGTCCCCCATCCCACAGATCAGAATTGAGCTCTTCTTAGTAATGGAAGAGATGAAGAGAGCTCCCTAAATATCTCAGCACCTGTGAGGGGACAGGTGTGCCCTTACCATCCATTAAAACACTGCTTGCAGGGTGCTCTCAAGCTGAAGAAGCTGATAGCTGAGGAGAGGTGGTTGTAAGGATTGTGGTGATGTTCTGAAGATCCTTATTTTTTATCTTTCTTAAGCTCTGGCAAATGAGTGCAGGGCTAGGTCACTGCAGAAAAAGAAAATGGAAGGGGAAGACATGGAGACAGGGACTAAGAAAAAACTATTGCTTTGCATTTCCTTTGCTAGATGATTTGGATGCTGGAAGATGCCTCCCTGCTGTCCCCTTTGCAAACTCTTCAGAAGGAAAGGAGGTGAGCTTGTGGTGTTTCACTATGTCTTTACTTCTAAATGAAATAAGATGCTGAAAATTGGCCCCTGAACAACACCTAAGCTTTTACAGGAGCAAACTATCCCTCTGTGGTAGGGATTCCACTGGTTATCAGATTCCACCAGGAGAAAGATGGGGGCAGGAGGCTTGGCTCTAATCATCCAGCCACCGATTATTTTTTTTAATCACTCTGAGCTTGAAACAGGTTAATTAAAATTATCAGTTAACTAGTCCCCCACTGGGAAGGTGTGCAGGAACTTAGCTGTGTGTCCTCTTGGTCACCTAAATTACTGCTGCGCATACACATTTTACTTTAAGGATACCGCTGCTCCTTTTTCTGTCTAGAAAACACAGATCCCTAGCTCTGGTTGCTGTCTGGCCTGTGGCAATCCTTTCTTCAGGAGGCGTTTGTCCTCTGGTTTCATTTTTTCTTTCCTTCTCTTGGACAAAACTCCAGAGAAACTGCGTAAGTTAAATCCAAGGGAAGTTTGAGGGGAAAAGGAGTCAGTGAGGATGCACCCCTCCCTGGCTTCCTTCTTTGAAAACAGAATTCAGAGTTGGGTCTGAGGCTGGTGGGAAGAGGGTAAAGGGTGAAAAATAAAGGGAAAACACCTTAAGCAGTCCCACCTTCCTTCCCTGTAGGGTAAAGGCTCGTGCTTCCTCAGCACACAGCTGAGTGCTAGTTGTGCTTGTCAAGCTTTCACTGAAGCCACTACCTGATTTTTCCCCTGTAGTAAATTGCTGTGGAAGCCAACAATATTTCTGCCTTTATTGCAGAACCATGACTGTCAGACAAAGAACAGACGCAAGGGTCGTGTTGATAAAGACATAAGGGTCTCTTCCTCTCCCCCGCTGCAGTGATTTATGAGCAGCCGCTAGCTTTCCCGGCCCTGCTGCAGCAGGTTTCCCAGGAAAGAGCCTGTTCTCGGTCTCCCACAGGCTGAAATGATGGTGTCAGTGTTGCTTGTGGACAAACAGGGGCCTCGCGAGACTGTTCGCCTTCATAAATCATCCGAAGTGGGACTCAGCAGCCAGCACCAGTCCGCCCAAGCTGCAGGTGCCCGGAGCACGAAGGCAGCTGAGGAAGGGTCAGCTCCCTGCCCAGCGCTGGGAGGACGAGAGCCTCGGCACATCCTCCTGTGCAGTGACAATACCTTATGAGTTTTGATCATCTGCTGACTGGTCTTGCTCCACACTAACAGGTAATAATATGCTTTTAGTGGAGATATTCCCTAACAAATGGGACTGAGGAGTATGTACACACTGCAGACCTAGTCTCCTTCCTCCTTTGCTATGAATTCCTTTGGTGATGATGAGCTTTTTCATATTAGTTTCTGGCCTTTATTTGTTTATTTTTATTTTTTTTCATGGAGAATTCAAATGAGTCTCCCATCCTGCAGGTGCAATTCAGCCTTCATAGAAAGTTAGGCACCCTGCCAGTCCTAAAACTCAGCTGCATCCTTCACTTACGTTCTGATGCTGAGGACTGGTGACACGCCAAAACTTCACAAAACGCCCCGTCTGCCAAGAAATGCTGCTGCGTGGCACAAGTAGCAATCCCTCGCCATTGAGATCTGCTGCACTGTTTGGAGGAAAACAAGAAAAATTTAGGCCCCTATAGAAGTGAGACTATTGAGGAATTAATGAAATCTCTCAGTTTGGAGACTCGCAGATGCTCTTCTATTGGGAGTGTGCCGAGCCTGTCATAAAACCCCTTTGGATAAGATGCAGTAAACATCTGGTACCTTTTTTTTTTTTTTTAAATAAAAACTATAATTGTTTTAGGCCTTGTTGTCTGCACATGCTGGTGATGTGCCTGTGAGGTCTAATTAGTTGACAAGAGACAAAAGAGGCCACTGCAGTGAAAGGGAGGCTGGGTGCCAGGATCGTTAGATAGGTTAGGCAGGAGCCACAGGAGCCAGCAGGTGATGATGCAGGAAGGTGTATCATCCCCAGCTGTTATAGATGTGGGGACACGAGGAAACGAGGCAAATTGATAAGCCAAGGGTTCAGTATTTTGCTAGTTCCTCTTACTCAAAACTGGATCTTCAATTTTCTGGGAATAGATACAGCAGGTCCCTCTCTGATTTTATAACCCAGGCTATGGGATGAGATCATTAGCCAAGGAGAGCACAAGCTGACTGTCCGCTCTGCTTGGGTCTTCCCTGGATAACATCCTTGAAATGTTGCTTTTTTCCTGAAGCTGTGCATAACTCCCTAAGGTTTTCCCAGGTAGCTTCCTCTTCATGTGTCTTGGCTCCTTTTGAATGGTTAACTTGGGGGGGAAAATGATGAGTCCTAGGGATAAAGCAATGGTGAATAGTGTCCTTTGGATTGTGTTTCCTAGCACTCCTGGGAAGCATGCAATACATTTTCCTGGTGTTCCTGTGCAAATTCACAGGTAGATTAAGAGATGTCATAGCTATTAGTCTCAGACCTACAGAAACATCACGGCTAGGCTCCCCAGCCACGCTGCAGGAGTGAAGTTCATTTCTGCTGGAGCCATCCTGAATCACAGCTGCTGACGAGAAGGAGGTGCATAAGGGGGATCATCAGAAGTCCAGATGAGATCACCACAATATGTGCCATCAAACTGGAAGTCAATAGCTACATTCGCTTCCCAAATATTCAATAGTTTCCTCCCTTTCTTCCACTGCTCTACAGGGACATGCTACGGACGGTAAGGAAAATACCAGCAGAGACAGCAAAACAGCGCTTTCCTCTTCTGTAAATCAGGAGTAACACTACTAAAGCGAAGAGAGTGACACCAGGATAAAACTTTGTAAATTAAAAGAGGACAAGTCCATTCACATTTTCTCTTGTCCAAGGCACCATGAAACGAACATTTGGAATTTACAATGCTGCTAACCTTAAAACTGTGTCCAATATTTTAATATATATATATATATATACACACACATACACACACTCCCAAGTTCATGTTTTGGCAGCCAGTTAAGTGGCTTGATTTACAAATGACTGAGCCAGCTGGGGTCTCCAGAGGTATCTATCAAGTTGCAGTAGGAGCTGTCGAGTGCTGAGAATTTTGTTTAAAAAAATGCAACTTGCCTTCGACTTCTAATCTAAACCCCAGTGAAACCAGTGGAAATAGTTCCATTGATGTCTGGGGGCCCTGGGCCCAGACATTAACGTAGGGTCATATTTCTGTCTTGCCTTCTGAAACACGCAGAGAGCAACCTGGAGTCATCTGTCTGGAGAAACATGACTTGAATGAAACCAGTCCCGAGTTTGGTTTTAGCATGATAAATGGCGACAGAAGACACGGTTGAATTTCCACATGTAGCAACCCCCCAAAATTGCTCCAGAACTTGTTTTAGTTTATCCCCGCTGAACAAAATAAACAATATTTAGTAAATCTCTTTCTGACTAAAATATCACTGGAGTTATAGGAGAGCCAGAGGAACAGGAGAGTGGGAGATTGAAAGAAGTGGGTAAAATACATTTAAATCTTTTAAAAGAAAGGCTTTGTTCTTTAACAACAACCCTTTCCATGATACTCAGCCCCCTTTAATGCTTTGGTTCCTTTATTCCTATGGGGGGGGGAGGAATCCAAACCCCAAGGAAGGCAACAAAGCTGTGCTGTTTCTTTGTTTGCTTACATACAACACAACTCAAGAGCAGAACACTTACATTTTGATTTTCAGATCATAGGAAACGAGGTGCCACCATCTTTACATTCCTGGCATGATCTGATTCTCAAATGAAATGCTAGGATAATGATTATTATTTAAAAACAACAATGACAACTAAGGCAAAGTAGAAAAGGCACTGTAAATGCAGGAAAAAAATATCCAGGCAGTGTCTGCTTGTTTGTACATGTATATGTGTACATAAAAAATAAATAAAACCTGCATTATTGAATACAAATGAGAATGACAAAAAAAGTGCTTCTCCCCAAACAGTTGCATATTCCAAAATTCTGTCAAAAAAAAGTCTTTCCTCCCACATTTGACTTTTTATTGTTGCTTTTCAACCAAAACAAAGTGAAAAGAGATTTTAAAAAATGAAGAGGAAATGGTAAATTATTTCAAAAGTAATTTCTGTATTATTTTTTTTTAAATCATTTTCTGGCATGGTGACAAAAGCTACCAGTGTATGTCCAAAGTTAGATCTGGTGATTTATTATTATTATTACTATTATTGAAAATAGGATCAACGTTTGGAACACAAGGATGCCTGTTTCCCAATTTCAGGAGGTCACAGACTGGGGAAAAGAAAAAAAAAGGTCTGTTTTGGATGTCCAGACCCCTCAAGCCACCCTGCACAACCCATAAACAGAAGAAGCAGTGGAAGTGGTGCCACAGCACTGGTACATGTATTAAGACCTGCAACCCCCAAATTGAGAGCTGCTCAGCCTACCTGTACTTGCGAGTCAGAGGCGAATATGGGGTTACCCAGTTAAAACCCCGCTCAGTTCAGGACTAAGCCATGTAACAGCACTTTTCCAGTTTCTTGTCCAGTGAGTTTTGCAAGTAGCACCTAAAAGAGCTAGCTGCTGGCACACGCATCATTTGCTGGCATGCTGGTTTTATTCCCTTTTGTTCCAGTGCATAATTTATAAGCGTATCTTATTTTTGGAGAAGTTTGCCCTAAATGGTGCTTTTTGTTTTCGCATGTTGCATTGCAGCTGTGAAGGCAGGCAGAGCCGTGCTGTGGAAGAAATATTTTTGCACAATTTTCCTTTTTTCTTCTTTTATTTTTTACATATGAGGAAATACTTTCTCCCAGCTTTTTAATTCTCTCCCCCCCTCCATCTCTTCTAAGCAAATGGTTGTTTACTAAGAAGCAGCACATCCTGATACTCATATAGACATCTGTGCCACTGAGAAATACAATTGTACTTTCTTCTGCTTTGTCATACATTTTTTCAAAGAAGGCACATGCTCCTCCACGGGCTCGAGGTTTTTATGTGCAAATAGAGGTCTTGGTTGACTGCTCCGAAGCCTAAGATCCCACAGAAATCAAAAGAACAGAAGAGCGTCCTTTAAGTGAGATGCGCTAGAGTGATTTCCTTAACAACAGCCGCAATTTCCAAACTTCCTCAGCTATAAGTTTGCATAAATTTACCCTTGGGGTTCCACGGGTTTGATGGCGTGAAATATCACAGAATCACAGAATCATCTAGGTTGGAAGAGACCTCCAAGATCATTGAGTCCAACCTCTGACCTAACTCTAATCAGTCCTCCGCTAAATCATATCACTGAGCTCTACATCTAAACGTCTTTTAAAGACCTCCAGGGATGGTGACTCAGCCGCTTCCCTGGGCAGCCCGTTCCAATGCCTCAAAACCCTTTTGGTAAAGAAGCTTTTCCTAATATCCAACCCAAACCTCCTCAGGCACAACTTTAGCCCATTCCTCCTCATCCTATCACAGGGAACGGGGGCGAATAGACCAAACCCGAATCTCTGACCAATATCCAAATCTCCATTCTTGCCCACAAGGGAAATGCCAGCAGACAGCCCATCCCCCTCAAAAAAAAAAAAAAAAAAAAAAAAAGATCTCTTTGCTCTCCTCTTTACAGCTGGGTTGCCATGCTGAAGTAGCAACGCAGGAGATGCTCTCATCTGCTGTAGAACCTGGCATGCTAGCACACTAGTACAAATTTGATCACCCCAAAGTAACCCATGCTGATGAAAATGGATCTTGCAGGCCTGGAGCTGAGCCCCTAAAAAGGCTCTTTTTAAGGAGTGAGAGATGAAGAAACGCTTGAACACAAGGTGAAATGCAGGGCGCCTGTGTTGGTGGGGATAAGGCCAGCTCTGTATCAAGAAGCCACCTCAATTTCTGCTGCTGGTCATGGTACTCCTACTTTCCCACAGGTTTTCTCAAAGAAATACGGCACACTTGCTTAACAGCTTCAGTCCACCCGAGTATTATAAATTTTCATGCTTTAAATAATGTGTAACCACATTTTATAACAATATCTAATAGAGATTAGGCCTAGAAAAGAACTCAGCCTAATCCTGTTAAATAAGAGCAAGGATATCTTGCAGACTATAAATCAAATGCTCCCCACAATAGGAAGCTTCTTCATTACCCTGTAAGACAGATAAACAATCAGCCACACTCCAAAAAAGCTTAACTCGAAGGTATATGTTGTGATACACAAATCAAAATTTAATTGCTACCAGCCCGCCTGTCTGCTTGCGGCCATGCAACGTCCCTATCTCGTACTACAGAGCATGTGCAAAGCTTTCAGAAACTTCATGCATTAAAAATGCAATTATGGAAACAATTTATAATCAATATGTGGTTATTAGGGTAACCTGCACGTATGGGATATTTTATAGCAATTATAATCCCAACAGTCCTTTCTGCGAATGAAATTTGCATTTTCGCTTTTCCCTTTCAGAGGTTTCAGTCCCAGCAGTGCCACCTACTGCTGAGATAACTTTGAAAATGGAATTTATTATTTCCTCAGGGGGAAAATTTTCAGAGACCATCATCCGCAGGTGGGCTGGAATAAAAACTCACAGGAAAAAAGAAAAAAATCTCCCTACCTATACGTGGCTGAGACCAGAAGTAAAAAATAAAAATAGAAATCTCTCATTTGTAATCTCACATTACTGAAACCAAGTGTTATCACTCCTCATTTATGACAATTTATTTCTTCGCTGGTGGGAATTGTCCCAGCTCCAGTGAATAGCAGGAAGTTACACCAGCCCTTGTGAGCTCAATTTCTGGCCCAGAATTGTCAAGAGAAAAATATGCAGAATTACTTTTTTTATTTTGGAGACAAAAAAAAAAAAAAAAAAAAAAAAAAAAGGTGACTTTTGGCAAGAAAACCCAAAGTCTTGCTTATTTCTTAGTGATAGGGAAGCTATCCCCCTCTCCTGAGAATGTGTGAAGTAATTTGGTTAATGAAGGATATGAAGAACAGCTGAGGCAGGATCTCAGTATCTCTGGTGCAAGTGTAAGGAGTGATGGGATTCTGGTTTGGCTTTGCAAGGCTACGGCTGACAAGGTAAGGTACTAAGGATAGGCTTTAAGATCCTCAAAATAAGGAAAAATTATAAAATTGTGGAGTTTTTGAAACAATTTGCAATTTTGTGGTGGTTAAAATGTACTTCAGGTGGTGCCTTGTGAGGGTTTGTGCCTTGTCCTTCCCCAGAGCACATCTCCTTCCATAAAAATAGCCCGGGGGCTGGGCTCCCTCCCTAGGATGCCCATTTCTGAGCCAAAAGGGACATTTGGCTCCACTCTGGGAAGTACAGTCTGGCTTCAGCTGCAAGGAGGATGGGTGTAAAATGCTGTGCTGTGTCTGAGGTTTGGAGTTGCTTCCAGCCAAGGATTTATTAAAGGATAAGGGGTAGAAGGGAGCAAACATTTTTTTGGCTGAGAATGTGAATTTTGCAAACTGTTTTTATTAAACTCTGAAATAGAAGCACTCTGGAATTCACATTTATATATTCAGTGAAGCAAAGAGAGATGTTTCTCCAGCGTTGTCTTCACAGCATGCTGCAGGTTAGGTGAAGCCCCGCCGAAACTGGCAGGTGCTTCTTGTTTAGGCAGGAGGAGGCAAGCTGGATCTTGCAGTAAGATGTCTGCAGGTATAAAACTGTGACCCAAAACAGGGTCACCAGAAAGGCTGGAGAGACAGTAAGTGGTTTCAGTGAGGAGGGCTCTCTGGGAACTGACGGCGAATGCTGGGGAGTGTTTAGTATTTGACACCTGGAATAACCATGGAATAACCTGGCTGACTGCTCGGCTTTATAAAAACACCAGACATCTCACGTCTGAAAATAACCAGCGTCCTTACTGCCTGTGACGGCAAGAAAATCAGAATAAGGGATGGAGATGGCCGAGCACCATCAGCTCTTCACCCTTTGCCTCCTGCAGGCAGGCTCCGGCAGCACAAGGGAGCAGGAAGGCTTGAAGGTGGTAATTGCAAGGCAGGTGTGAATGCAGAAAAAAGAGGTATCTGATAGGAGGTTGCTGGGTTGTTTGTTTTTAGGGTGACTTTTCTGGAGCTGAGTATTCCATGTTTTCCTACACGTAGCCCTCTAATTGAACATTTGGGACTTATTTTCCATGCAGATTTTGTGATTTTTAACTTAATCTTTGCCCCAGTCTTACAGGGCAAAACAATAAAGTAAGAATAGGGAGAACATCTGTCCTATAGGATGAACGGCAGGTATTATCTAAATTGGCTTTACGCAAACCTCTGTAAATACTTGTTTCTAACCAATTGCTTCTGCTTACCTCACCAAACACCATCCATTACCAGACAAAGAACATTTTATGAAGAATAGTTGAAATACCTTGGTGTCAAAATGACCTTTCTGTAGGTGGACAGAGAAGGGTGAGGTAAAACAGAAAAGCTGTGGAGGGTTCCTACAGCCTAACTCCCAACCACTGGAAGAACCCAACTGAGGCATCTTGGATGACACTGGGTATACTGACCACCTTCAGAGGGTCCTCACTTCTGTGTAGGAAAAGCCTGGCATGGTGAGGCTTCTGTTTTACAACACAGTCTGTTGGGAAGTTCCTGAGCCTGCCTGCTGGGACATTCATTGATATTGCAGACTGATGTCCCCTCACCCACCCTGATAGGATCTGTGTACCACAAAGATGCGTCTGCTTAAATTTCTGGATATTGGGTAGGCTGCTTTTCATTCCAGCTAAATGAGACCTTTTCATTTCATTTTTCATTGCATTTTTTTATTTTCATTTCTGTAAATTGCATTTTCCAAATTATTTATATTTATATATGTATAAGTTGATAGGGAACTCTTTTTTGGTGGCTCTTAGGAGAGTGATTCCAGCACGGAATGAAAAATAAACTTTAAAGTATAATTTGCTACTGTCCTTTCCAATCTGCTCGTTTGGCCTTCACTAAATGTTTCAAAACAGAACACCTCCAGCTGTTCCCCTGCCTATAAGAGAACTTGAATTTCAAAATCAGCTTCCACACACCCTGTCTCTGCTGGGAGCCCAGCTCTGTTCTGCGGGATTAAATCTGGACATTATTAAATTCTTCTGATCAGTGACAGAAGCGCCTTCAGAAAGAGTGCTGAGCAGCTGCTTAATATTGTTTTTGTGGTGATAGGGAGGCAAATGCCTTTTGCATTGGCTGGGAAAAGCAGTTTGTGTCATTCCTAGAGGCACTTTATTGTGGAAACACAGCTCAGAGTCATTCTTTACAGGCCAGTTGCCAAAACTTCAGCAGAAGCAGAGAAGCTTGCAAATAATTAGCTGGACTGCCTCTAGCAGGTGTCACTTTGGAATTCATAGTTGATGATAATCCTCAAAGATTGCAGAGAGGGGATCTGACTGGACAAAGCAAGGCTAATATCCACATATTACTCTGAGAGCAGCCACTCTCCTCACTAATGCACCAGCTCTGATGGGAAGCAGCTTGACAAAAAATCTGCAATTTGAACTACTGGATAAAGAACGAATAAATTGCTCATTTTAACTTGAAAAAAAAAAGGGGGGAAAGAAAAAAAGGAGAAAAAGAATGCCCCCTACCCCCAAACAAATCAATACAATGTCTTGAATTGGAAAAGGATGCTGCTTAATTGGAATACAGATCCTGCATGAAACCCTGATTCTAGCATGAGGTATTTAATACTTTCTGCCACAATAAAAGAAGAGAATTAATGGACTCAGTGGGAAATCTAGATGGCATTTAGCTCTGAATCAGACTATTATTTTACACTTGGCATTGATAGGAGTCAAAATGAGGCCACAAGCCCAAGACTTTCTCAGCTCCTCGCGTGTGCCAATTCCCTTTATATTCCCATGATCCCTGCTTGGAGGCTTCCCTTTCTCCATCGCTCAATCATAGCAACAGCAAACTGAGGTAATAAATTATGAAGCCTCTCCAGGCTAAATGTGGGTAAAAAATGCATTCATTTTCTCTCTTTTTAAATATGTGGCGATTGCACATACATGTAAGATGTAGCTGACAGTTTCTATAATATATGGTTAAAAAGGCAGACAGTTATTACAGAAATTTTATTCTATAAATGCATGCTTAATCAAAATTTGCTGCTTGCCCTGTAGAGGAGGAATTTCTTTTGTCACCACTCTGAGTGTTAAGACATGCATGTATATTCAGGGTGAATGAAATGGAGACAAGATTTGAATGAATTTTTATACTTTCTAGGGATTAAAATGTTGCAAATTTTTGCAATATTTTTTTTTCCTATCCCTAGTGTTTGAGGAATATTATAGCTTGTAAGAAATGAGGAAGATGAAGGAATTATATGAGTATAAACACTGTGGGCAACTCTCCAAATCCATCCTTAGACTTTCTTTCTAATCGAGATTTATTTGGAAGGTGTCATGATTGTTAGCCATCTCAGAAGCCCTCACTGTAACAGTCCTCAGGACACTTTGGATCTATCAGAAGTGCTGCATTGCCATTTTCCCCCAGGCCCAGCATTATGCTGACTGTAAGCCGTGCAATGCTGCATGTAGAAGGTGTTATTTATAAACCTGGGCCTGATTAGTCCTCATGATACCTTCAAAAGTGGATATATAAGATTATGAATATCTTGCTTCAAGCCAAATGGCAAGTGAGGAGCAGAAATGAGGCTGGGATTCAAGTTCTCAGTTCCCATGCCTTCCATACAAAGTCCTGTCATGCAAAGATGAGGTGTGAGAGCAGTAGTGCAACAAGAAAAAAAAAAGCTGATGATGATCACCAGGTGCCGTGCGCTCAGTTCTGATGCTCTTCTGGTTGTTTCCCTCCAAGCAATCTGGCTTCCCTGTTACCTGAAATACCTTCAGGATTGACCTCATGTAACTCTGCTTCCCCCCAGGGGAGCCATGAGATGCCTTCTCAACATTTCCCAACCAAGCTGTGGAGCAAATCAACAGCAACACTTTCGCCAGACCCCACAGAGCAAGGATGCTTGGTTCAGTACTGGGGGGAAAAGGTAGTCTGCAAAACCAGACAGTGGGTAGCTGGAAAACAAGTGGGAGCCCTGCTCCTGGAGGCCTGGTCAGAGAAATTACATTGGATCTGAGCTGGCAGACAGTGCTTTATCACCAGCTCCCTGGCTTGGGGCTTACTGGCCAGTTTCATCACATATGGCTAGCTTAAAAATAGATATCTAGAGTGAGAGCTTGAAAAGTCAGTTTAAGAAAGACTTAAGAGGAGTTTCTCTCTCCTTCCCCAGAGCAAACGCTCATAACGAGAGATTGCTTTGTGATATCCCCGGAGCCACAGAGCCATTTCCAGGCTATGGAAACCCCATAGTAGTGCAAAGAGGAATGGCTCAGCTGCAGGGCTCAAGTAACTTCAGGCAGGATGGCTCCTTTTAGACCAGTAGTGTTTTATTTCAGAAGTCAATCACGCTTTCCAAAAGCTTGAGCTTAGCTTGGCAGAAGAAGAGCACTTTTGTCCTCTCTATCTCCTCTCCACGATGACCTTTGGCTTTACAATCTGATTGCCCTTAGGGTTTTATAATCTCAGATTTGTTGGTAACAGATATCGTATGCTGGCGATCCCCATATTGTGAAGCCCCATTTTAAAAAAAATAATTCTGCTGAAGCAAAGATAAGCTATTGTTTTCAACTATAGGGTTTTAATAAAGCTGGCATATGAGAGGGCAGGGATCCAAGCCAATTATAACCTAATTGACCCTCTTATTCCTTCTTTCTTATCTGAAAGCACATTCTTTGCCAGTCAGGCTCATGATATCTGTTGCTTGGAAAGTGTAGTTTTCAATGACCTACAATTTCAGTGATCTACAGCATTCCTGATCCAGATAAATAAATGCAGGCATCTACCTCTAGTTGGATGATTGATTTAGTTAGTGGTCATAATTGGTCAATTAGGGAGACTCAGCCTGCTAAAGCCAGGAAAATGAGCAAGAGATGGAGGGAATCTGAGCACAGGATTTACCTTGACAGAGGAAACAATTTAAATGAAGGGAATCCAATGTTGCCTATTTAATACTCCATAGAGTATGAAAAGGCTTTCCGGAAATAATTACTCTCCCTATACACTGT